TGTATTGTGATGAATTGTATGAGCCCCAATAAATTGATTAAAAAAAAAGAGAAATATTCTAGAAAAAAAACTAAAAAAACCTAGTTTGAATGATGAGTGTCTCTCTGCCCCTGAATTGTTCTTCAGAATTTTCAAGATGTACTCATATTTCAATTAATAAGTCAAACACTATGGTTATAGATGATAAAGATTTGTACTTATAAACAGTTATTTTTCATTTAGCATGTAATAAGCCTCAAGAAAAATGTTACATGAATCTAAGAAGAAGAAAATAAAAATTTGAAATAAAAAAAATAAGAGAGAAAACATAATTCATATTGTAAAAATTGAAATTGCTAGGAAATTCTTTCTTATGCCATGTTCATATTTTTATATCTTGAAAGAGTTTCTGGTCTAGCTGCACTTTTGTGAAGATGAGGAAATAGGCTGTGTGATTTTTTTCCACAATATCCCATATTGTGATACATAGAGTTTTATCCCAGGAAGTACCACACAGTATATTTCCCTCTTGAACATTTATAAAACATATCAGCTTATTGAAGATGAGGTGTTTCTGCTAAAGTTTTGAAAACTCTTATGATCATATGATCAAGAATACTTTCTTAAGGAACACTAATTATTATTCCATAGAATATTTATTAAAAGAGCTTATATCCTGAAAAACTTTAATTCTTACCTTATATGGCTTATGGGCAATGGCCTCATTGTAAGTAATTGCATTTGTAATAGTTCTAGTTCCAAATACAGTCACAGACATAGGTACTGAAGGTTAGTGAAGTATTTGAAAATGTTTTGTAATAGTTACATAAAAGTAGTCATTTGAATTTATCTATACTTTATTCCACATAATGACACCATACATTATTTGCAATGAATATTCAAATAGTTTCTACTCTGTGTATTTATATTTAGATAATTTGGCTTTCAGATTAATTAATTTTAATAACAATGGCAATGTTTTATTGTTCAGTTGCAGTATTTAAATAGTATCTTTTAAAAAATAGATTTTTATTGCTAGTGTGAGAGTAGAAATTAAATTAAAGTGACATACTATTGAAAACTGATTTTATTGTTACATTTAATAGAAAGCTAGTTAAATTGATTAGAATGCTCATAATATTATTTTTTTTTTTAGCTGCAGTGCCCTTCTTGCCTTCTTCCATAACAAGTCTAAAATTATCTCAAAACATATTTACATGTGTTCCAGAAGCAATTTTAAAGTTACCACAGTAAGTAAACTGCTTGAATTTTAAAAACCTACAAGCTGTAACAGAATCATCAGAAACATGATTCTAATTTAGATATGAATGTTTTATTTTCAATATGTAGAGCGCCTCATTGATTTTTTTTAATTTTTAAAACTTTTATATTGATCATGTAAAAGTGCCTTAACATTACTTAATTTTTGCACCATTATAATCAAATGAGATTGTACTAGCTATCACATTTATTTTAAAATTTAATTTTTCTTAGAATTTGGTATGTTGCCCATATGCTATTAATGTTGACATTTTACTTAACTAGTATTTGAGTGAAGATTAAAACAATTAATGTTCTAGGTTTGTATGTGTGTGTGTTGGGGTGTGTGCTATTGTTAATTGAAAGTGAAAATTCCCTCTTAGTTGTAAATTTGATATTATTAAGATTTAAATTTTTTCATCTTAAATTCTATCACACATAATAAAACTAAGTCATAAGTATATTGTGTAAGTATGCACATATTTATGCAAATAACTTTAAAATGCATTCTAACCATATCAAATAGAAAATAATTTAAATATAGCCTTAAAATATGTGAAAAAAAATTGATTATGCAGTGAATTATGTCTTTAATGTTACTATGATCCTATAATATAGCTACTGTTTTCTTCACTTCATACTGAAGAAAGACAATACTTTATTAGAAAGGTATAATCACGTACCCATAGCACAGTTATCAAACACTGTGTTGTTTCTTATATTTATGTAGGTAACTATCAAAAACAGATGGTCTCATATTTTTTAAGGGTAAGCCTATTTAAAAACTGCTTGAAGGTTAAGTAATCATGAAAGCTGAATAGGATGTACATATTAAAAAGATCCAGAAAACTAAACATATTACCCAGTCCACATCTAACCTTTAAACACTGCTTTACATACAGCATAGTTGTCCAGCATTTTCTATGTATTCTTTCTTTAATTTTGATTTTTAATTTCATAAATGAGCACACAGTTGCCCAACCAAATTGATTTCTGAGAGAGGCTAAGGAGGCACTACTTTGGGAAGCTCTGCTGATGATTAACTTGGTCTCAAACACATTTTGTTGTTGTTCAGTGCCCTCCAGTCGGTTTCCACTCAGAAAGAACCTATGCACAACAACACAGTACGGTCTAGTGCCAACCTCAAAGTTGTTCTTGTGCTTAAGCCTACTGTTGCAGCCACAGTGTCCATCCATCTCCTTTTCTGTTGCCCCTCCACTTTACCAAACCTGATGTCCTTCTCCAGGGACTGGTCTCTCCTGACAATGTGCCCAAAGTATGTGAGACAAAATCTCATCATCCTTGCCTCTGGGGACCACTGTGGCCGTCCTTCCAAGGCCGATCTGTTTGTCCTTTTGGCAGTCCATGGTACTTTCAATGTTCTTCTCTAGCAACACAACGCAAATGTATCAACTGTCCTTCGGCTTTCCATACTTTCCCATGCATGTGAAGCAATTGAAAATACCATGGCTTGGGTCAGATGCACCTTAGTCCTCAAAGTAACATCTTGGCTTTTCAGTACTCTTAAGAGGTCTTGTGCAGCAGGTTTACTTAATACAACACCTCTTTTGATCTGCTGCTTCTATAACCATTGATTGTGAATCCAAGCAATATGGGATCTTTGACAACTTCAATCTTTTCTACATTTATCATTATGTTACCTATTAGTCCAATTGTGAGGACTTTGGCCTTCTTTACATTGAGTTGTAATCAGCAGCGAAGGCTGCAATCCTTGATCTTGATCACCAAGTGTTGTAAGTCCTGCTCCCTTTAAGCAAGCAAGACTGTGTCAAGTGCATATCACAGGTTGTTAATAAGCCTTCCTCCAATCCTGATGCCACACTCTTCTTCATATAATTCAGGTTCTCTGATGATTTTCTCAGCATATAAATTGAACAAATACAATAAAAATATATAGCCCTTATACAATTCTTGATTTTAAAACATGCAGTATTCTTTCACTTGTTCTTTTCAACACAATGGCCTCTTGATCCATGCACAAGTTTCTCATGAGTACAGCGAAGTGTTTTGGAATTCCTATTCTTCTTAAGGTTATCCATAGTGTATTATGGTCCACACAGTCCAATACCTTTGCACAGTCAATGCAATACAAGTAAACATCCTTCTGGGATTCTCTGCTTAGAGCCAAGATCCAGCTGAAAGCAACAAGGATATTCTTTGTTCCATATGTTCTTCTAAATCCAGTCTAAATTTCTGGCAGTTCTCTGTCAATTACTATTGCAACCATTGTTAGATGATCTTCAGCAAAATTTTACTTCCTTGTGATATCAAAGATTGTTCTATGACTTAATCATATTGTTGGGTCACCTTTCTTTGGAATGGGCACAGACATGGATCTCTCCCGGTGAGGTGGCCAGTAGCTGTCACATTTCCTGGCATAGATGAGTGAGTGTTTCTAGAGCTTTTGGACACATCTCAATTGGTAGCCCATCGATTACTGAAGCTTTGTTTTTTGCTAATGATTTCAGTGTAGCTTGAATATTTCTCCTTCAGCATCGAAGGTTCTTGGTCATATTGAACCTCCTGAGATCGCTGAGTGCCGACTAGTTGTTTCTGGTACAGTGGCACTGTGTAGTCTTTTCATCTTCTCTTGTTTGATGCTCCCTGCATCATTCAATACTTTGCCCATATAATCTTTCAAGATTGCAACTCAAAGCTTGAATTCTTTTCCTGAGTTTTTTCAGTTTCTGATATGCTGAGATTATTTTTCCCTTTTAGTGTTTTTTATTCTTTTTTAAAAGAAATCATTTTATTGGGGGCTTATACAATTCTCATCACAATCCATACATGCATCCATTGTGTCAAGCACATTTGTACATTTGTTTCCATCATCATTCTCAATACATTTGCTTTCTACTTGAGCCCTTGATATCAGCTCTTCATTTTCCCCCCTCCCTCCCCATTTCCCCTCCCTCACGAACCCTTAAAAATTTATAAATTATTATTATTTTGTCATATATTACACTGTCCGACATCTCCCTTCACCCACTTTTCTGTTGTCCGTCCCCCAGGGAGGAGGTTATATGTAGTTCCTTGTAATTTTTTCCCCCTTTCTAGCCCACCTTCTCTCCACCCTCCAGGTATCACTACTCTTACCACTAGTCCTGAAGGGATCATCTGTCCTGGATTCTCTGTGTTTCCAGTTCCCATCTGTACATCCTCTGGTCTAGCCAGATTTCTAAGGTAGAATTGGGATCGTGATAGTGGGAGGAGGAAGCATTTAAGAACTTGAGGAAGGTTGTATGCTTCATCATTGCTACCCTGCACCCTGAGTGGCTCATCTCCTCCCCGGTACCCTTATGTAAGGGGGTGTCCAGTTGCCTACAGATGGGCTTTGGGTCTCCACTCTACACTTTTGCACATTTCATTATAATATTCTATGTTGTCTTCTCAAGCTGTCTTTTGAAATTTTCCATTCAGCTTGGACTTCATCATTTCTTCTACTTTATTTAGCTACTTTATGATCAAGAACAAGTTTCAGAGTCTCTTGTGACATCCACTTTGGCTTTTACTTTTCCCCTTCTTTTTAATGACCCGTTGCTTTCTTCAGCGATGATGGTCTTGATGTTCTCTAACAGCTCATCAGGTCTCTGTCAGTAGTGTTCAATGAGCCAAGCCTGTCATTGCGACGTTCCCAAAATTCTGCTGGGATAGACTCAAGGTCGTATTTTGGCTCTCATGGACTTTTTCTAAATTTCCCCCCAGCATATCCTGAACTTATGTATGAGCAATTTATGATCTCTTCCATTGTCAGTCCCTGGCCTGCTTTTAGCTGCTGATAGCTTCTCCGGTAGCTCTCCCCAGAGATGTAGTCATTGATTTCTGGGTGTTCCATCTGTAGAAATGTATGTGCGGAGTCACATTTTGTTTTGTTGAAAAAGGCATTTTCTATAAGCAAGTCACAGCTTTTGCAAAATTATATCATGTGATCTCCAGTTTCATTTCTATCGCCAAGTCCATATTTTCCAGCTACTGTCCCTTCCTCTTTGTGTCCAACCTTTTCATTCCCATTGCTTATACCTATCCATGCATCTTGATTTCAGACTGAAGTCCCTCAGTAGAACTCTTCAATTTCTTTCTCCTTAGCTTTTGTAGTGGTGCATAAATTTGAATAATAATTGTATTGATTGGATTTCCTTGAAGGCATATAGATATAATCCTGTCACAAATAGCATTGTACTTCATGATGGATTTTGCGATGTCCTTTTTGACAGTGAATGCCACACCATTTCTGTTGGGTGCTATTTTCAGCAGAGCAAATCATATGATTTTCTGATTCAAAATGGCCAATACCAGTCCATCTCAGCTCCTTAATGCCTAGGCTATTGATCTTTATCAATATCCTTCCAGTTTTCCTAAATTCACACTTCACACATTCCAAGTTCTGACCATTAGCAGATTTGTGCAGCTGTTTTTCCTTACTGTGAGTCATGCGCCCACCAGCCAATGGAGATCCAAAGGTTTCACTCTCATCGGTTTTACCCATCTCACATCAGCACAGTTGACTGCGTTCTCAGCAATCAGCTCCTCTTTAGTCACGTTAGGAATGCCCTCCGACCCGAGAGACCCAGCTCCGGCTCTGTCTCTGACACTTTTCTGCTTCCACTCATGAGGTCTTCAGTTTCTAATAATGTTATAAAGCTATTCATAAAGATTTTAGCGGTCCCTTCCTCCAAAATGAGGAGCCTAGTTCTTCTTCGTTGTTTGTTCCTTAATCTGGAAGCTCCTCTGAAACTTGTCTACTTTGAGTGGTCCTGCTGGCATTTGACATACCAGTGACGTAGCTTCCAGCACCACAGCAACACTATGCCACCACAGCCTGACAAACTGACAGACAAGTTGTGGACATTGTTAGACATTGTTATTAGTTTCCCACTACACATTATGGCAATTATGTGGCCTAAAAGAACAGAAATTTACTAACAGTTTGGCTGCTAGAAGACCGAATTCAGCGTACTCTCTGGGCTCTGCTCTGCCCAATGCCTCTAAGATCCTCTTTGCTTCTTTTAGCTTCTGGTAATCCCAGTTATCCCCTGTTTGATATGTAACTCGAATATCTGCCTCTGCTTTCACATGATGATCTTTTGTAGCTCTTCTCTTCTTGTAAGGACACCAGTCTAATGGTCTCTTGTCAACCAAGCTCATCTGCAAGGACCCTACTTCCTAGTAAGGTAACAGATACGGGGTTTAGGGGATCCGCTAGGACTTTAAGATATCTTTGGTGGACACATTAAACCCATAACAGACATATATCATGTATCTCTAATAACATCACCATCATTTTTCATTTGTTTGCAAACTTTCAATAACAGGTATAAAATCTAGCACTTTAAGAACAAAAACATATGTGTTGCTATGCTGATCTGCATCTATGTCTAAGCAGGCTCTCTAAGTGAGCTTGGAATCAATTCACCAGGCTTCAAATAGGGTGGATGAACGGGCCTTAGTAAAAATCATTGTCAATTTCCAATAGACCTTTCCTTACTCAAAAGAATAAAAATGAGTGTCTTTATTCTCCCTTCATATGTATACTTACATATCCGTGACTCAGCGTTTCTATGATTGTATGCAAACGTGAGCTAGCTATTTTGAATGACAGCCCTCCACTTTCATCGAGAGCCTTTGGTATGCCAGGCACTATGTTTTTGTCAATACTGACACAGAGTGGTAAAAGGAAATGCCCACACCCAATATTAATTAATGCTAGGTTTCAGTCTCTGCAGACTCCTCCAATAATGAGCAAAAATCACAAGGAGAAATAGGCTATACTTTTTAAAGGAAAGGAAGGCAGGACTTTCTTTTTTAACTTTTTGTTGTGACTTGGTTGAAGGTTTACAGAACGACCGTCAGTTTTATATTCGCCAGTTTATGTGCATTGTCTCTAATCTCATTCATTGCCGTCCCCTTACTGTGACACCACTTATCCCAGCCCTCCCTCTGATTCCTATTCCATCCCCCTCTTTCCTAGCTAGACTTTTGAACTGTGCTCCAGGGGTAAATGCTGCCCTTCTCATTTCATGCTAGATTATTCTGAAGTGTGCGTAGCCCCCTACTGTTAATGTTGTCTCTGTAAACCTGGCTGTTGGTGGGATAAACATTGAAACGGGGTCAGTTCCGTTCCCGACGTCAAGGGAACTAAGGGCCATAGTCTCAGGGCTTCCGCCTTTTATTGACCACTGTTACATGTGTTCATGATTTTTCATATGATCCCTGGTTGTACAATGTTTAAAGCGCTCAGGTACTAAGCTAAAGGTGGGCCCTTGGACTCAACCAACATTTCTGTGGGATAAAATGACCTGGGGAATCTCATTTTACCAAACCAAGTCCACTGCCAAAGGATACCCTAAGGGCAGTTTTGTTCCTTCCAACCACCCACAACAGTAGCTGTTGCTCATACATTACAAGCATGTGATTTCTCCTGGCCCACAAACAACTTTTCTGAGAATATTTTTCATAAGCACTTGTAAGTAGAGAAAGTTAACCTCAATTTTATTTTTAATGAACTTAAATATTATTTAATAATAAATATTATTTAACATGACTTTTCCCCCTTAGCTCGTTTTTAGATAAACCTATGAACACATACCCACACACTTAACACTGAAAAACAAAACAAACCCACTGTTGTCAAGTCAATTGTAACTCCTAGCAGCCAGAGTAGAACTGCCCCATGAAGTTTCCAAGGTTGGGAAGCTTTAGAGACGTAGGCTGCCGCAGGTTTCCTTTGCAGAGCTGATGATAGGTTCAAACCACTAAACTTTCAGGTAATTGCCAAGTATTTTAACCACTGTGCCACCAGGGTTCCTACTAATTCACCCACTTACATGTAAATAATGTGACTTTTAAAGTTATATCTGTTTCCCTCTGGTGAAAACTGCCTATGATATTAATTCATGTATTTTGAGAACTCTGACTTGGTTTATGTCTTGGCCTGGTTTTGTTTTAGCTTGCGGTCCTTAGACATGAACAGCAATAATATTCAGTATCTACCAGGTCCTGCACACTGGACATCTTTGAATTTAAGAGAACTCTTGTTTAGTTCCAATCAGATCAGCCTGCTGGACTTGAGTGAGAAAGCTCATGCTTGGTCCAGGGTAGAGAAGCTACATCTTTCTCGTAATAAGCTGAAAGAGGTAAGAGTTCCTTTGCATTTGTTTAAAATTATTGTCAAATATAAGATATGCTTTCTTAATTTACATTATCATAAATTATCATTTTCAATTTTAATTGATATTTTTTTCCTTTAAGAATAAGCAGTAATCTTACCCTGAGGTAAATAGATTCTTCTTCTTCTTCTTCTTTTTTTTTTGTACTCTGTTTTTGAGAAATCCTATAAATGTAAATATTTAATTATGAATATGTGTAGTTCTTTAAAGGCATCTTGGTAGGTAAGGATTGTATGGATAACCCAAAGGTTGATGGTTTAACCCACACACCATTCTGTGGGAGAAAGAGGCGGCTTTCTGCTCCTGTAGAAAAGTGTGGGGGTTAGTTGTAATCAAGTTCTTTCTGACCCATAGTGACCTTATGCACACAGAACAAAACACTGCCCTGTCCTGGGCCGTCCTGACAGTTATTCCTATACTTGAGCCCATTGTTGTTGCCACTTTGTCAGTACATCGCACTGCATGCCTTCCTCTTTTTGGTTGCCCTCTGCTTTACCAAGATTGATGTCCTTGTCCAGAGACTGGTCTCTCCTGACAACAGGCCCAAAGTACAAGAGATAACGTCTTGCCATCCTTGGCTCTAAGGAGCACACTGGCCACATTTCTTCCAAGACAGACTTGTTTGTCCTTTCGGCAGTTCACGATACTTTCAATATTCTTCGCCAGCACCACAATTCAAACACATTGATTCTTCTTTGTTCTTCCTTATTCAAGGCCCACCTTTCACATGTGTATGAGGTAATGAAAACACCATGACTTGGATTTAGCACATACTCGTTTTCAAAGTAACGTCTAAGAACTCTAAAGAGTTCTTGTGCAGCAGATTTACCCAATGCAACTTGTCTTTTGATTACAGACTTAGAAATCCTATACAGAGTCTTTATTGGCCAGAATCAACTTCATGGACAGGGGATAATGCTTTTAGCGTATGACTCTATCACTAAATCTCTGATGTGCTAACAAACTGATATCCCTACATTTCTCTACTTCTCCTTGGACTGTATGTATTTTGTGTTATTAAGCTGACATATTTTCCTACATGTTTAAAGCTCTGCATACCTCTACCTTGCTACTCAAGTATTCGTGACAGCTATAAGCAATGTAGGGCAGGCCACATAGGTCAGCCACCTTTGTTTCTATTTGCCTCTATTAGCAAATCTAAAACTCTGTTAGTAAATCCAACATTCATTTCTCTCAGAACAACATGTTTTGTCAAGGTGAAGCCTAGTGCTAAGCCTACAGAAACACAAGCAGATTAAATACCTGAAACTGTTAGGTTTAGGAATAACTGTATTTGTCATACCTTTTTTGTCAGCAAATTAATATTTTATCTTATAAAGTAACATATTCTGACTACAATTTTAGAAACCATGGGAAAATTCTCAAATTAAAATTCCACTAAAGTGTAAATATTTAGTTGTATTTTAAGAACTCTAGGTAGTAATTAAGTTTGCAGTGACTCGACCTGCATTGCTTTGCTTAAGAACACAGTGTGAGAGAGTAGAATGAAGCGGATGATGAAAGGATACGGGTAACCAAGTATAACGAGTTCTTTGCTTTTCAGGCTGTGAGATTAAATATGTTGCAAAGAGAGACCGGCTTTCTAAAGATTAAAAGTGACATAGATGGTTTTGGGTAAGCCCTTTATTCCTCTCAAGTTTGTCCACATTTATAAATAAAAACGTGGAAACGCTTCTGGATCATAGGAGAACGGCGTGGGAAGGCCGCTGTGTTGCGGATCACACCCAGGAGCCTCTCTGGTGTCCCCACCGCGCCGTGTTTCTTGGCAGCCACGTGCCTTCCTTCCCACGCACAGGTGTTGCCCATTTTTCTTTCATTAAGATTCCGCCGGAGATTGGCTGTCTTGAAAATCTGACGTCTCTTGATGTTAGCTACAACTCGGAGCTGAGTTCGTTTCCCAATGAAATGGGGAAATTAAGCAAAATATGGGATCTGCCTCTGGATGAACTGCATCTTAATTTTGACTTTAAACACATAGGAGGTAAAGCCAAAGACATCATAAGGTGAGATCACTTAATTTCCATTTGTTTTTATTAAACTTGTTTCTTCGATCTTGCTTTTATAAATACAGTTACAATTTAGGCCAAAAAAATGACAGAGGGCCATTTACCATGAATAACATCCTATGTGTCAATAGCTTTGCACGAAATGAATGGATTCACACGGCGCCACTGCGGAGGCTCTCCACTGCCTCCTACACACGCTGTGAGGAGAGACTGGATTAGCTCCCAATCACACGTTTCAGTATCAATGGACTCTGAAAGGCAATGCATACTCTGGCTCTTTGGTCACTTGTTAGTAACTAAACAATTTGGAGATCCATATCAACGTATCACTTCTCATTTTGCCTTTCCTATTCATCAATATTTAACACATGCATATTACATCATAATGCATTAGAGGTACTTCAGCGATATCAAACTTGATTATCAATTCTGATTTTGACTATTAGTGACTTAAACTGGGAGCACATTTGAAATCATCAACCCGTCCAGACCACACTCTGTGTGGTCTTCACACTTGAAAGACTTCAAATCTTATTGATATCAGACTTCATTCCACCCTGTGTTCTGTTCTTTTTCAAGCTGGTTAGTCTTATTGTGATCAGTTCATAAAATCATGCTTCCATTTCCATTGAGTTCCTTCTATCTGTGTTTATTTTGGAGCCTCTAGATCCCTGATCACTCTGTAGTATACACTATCATACCTATGGAGGTCGGCCACGTGGTCATGCTCACTCATGAATTGACTCCTGGCACCTGACACAGCAGGGCACATAATAAGTAGCTGTTGAGTTACAAATGGATGACATGTACCCAAGTCTCTCCTGCACACTTACATTTCCTTTCGTTTTTTCTGTTTATGAGTGCCTGGTCTTCTGTTCTCCTGAGCTTGATTTAACAGGAGTTTGTCACCATCATGCTAAAAATGACTATCCTTGATCCTACCTAATTATCTACTATTGATTTCACTCTAGGGATGTTCATGTAAAAATGGTTTAATTACTACTAAAATTTTCTAAATTTCTAATGAATTATGTTGTATTATCAAGCTATTATATGACTGTATTTCTTAATGTGTTTAGAAAATTTTAGAACAGACAGAATTCTGGATAGATTAGAAGTGGTAAGCAGCATTTATTTATTAAAAATGTTTTTGTGAATGTGTAATCTTAATATATATATATTTGACTCATTGATTTTCTTGTCTTTTGTGGCATAAACAGAATTAAAGTTATGAGAAAATTAGTTATTTCTATAATGGTAGATCTAAGATCTGACTTGTTGGATTTTATTTCTTAAAGTACTAAAGGAATCAGAATAAGCAATGGTTTTTGGTAAGATTGCCATAAATGTTAGTTAGATTCTTATTTGTTATGAGAATGGATCAGTCAATAATCTCACAAATTCACTTATATTTTAATTTACTCCTCTAATCTTAAAATCCAAAATTTTGATATAGTTGCAAGTTGTATCATTTTATGTCCATTATAAATTTGATAACATTTAAAATCTATTACTTTAAGGTGGTTTTGTTTGACCACTTATAGCAATTCTAATTTAAATTATTTTAATATTAAGATTGATAAAAAAAGCAATATATTTACATCTGGTAGTATTGGTTTATATGTTTATTTATAATATATCCAATGTGATTTTGCTACCCATATGCATCATATGTGAGGGAACTTTAAAAAGTTTGTGGAAAAAAATTGAATTCAAAGCTAACAGATTTTTTCCACAAACATTTTGAAGTTCCTTCATGTATGTGTACATATGATATAGATGTACATCTTATATACTACATATGAATATATATACATACATATTTATGTAATGTAGCTAATTTGATTTTATAGCAAAGCAGTACATCTATATATTATATCTTGGTTCTATGTTATATGATTTCTGTAAAATTTTATAATTTAGAAAAATTTAGGGTTTTGTTTGTACTATTTAAAGAAATATCTGTACATGTAATATGCTTCAATTAGTACTTCAAATATATTTGGCTGTTTTGATTATTTCTAGTGATAGTATAGCCGTCTTGTGACAGAGGAGGTTCTGGATGGGCTGCTAAGCACAAGCTGCTGTACAGGAGAAAGATGAGGCTTTCCGATCCCATCAGAAATGCCTTGGTGCAGCTTGTCTGTGTCCTATCGGGGGGCTATGAGATGGAACCCACCTGCTGGCAATGAGTGAGACCACCTCTAGCAAAATATATGCCCTAAAAGTGGGAGTGAAAGCCTTGCACTTTGTTATATCAGCTACCCACTCTTGCGTACTATATTTTTATAAAAGTCTATTATTTTAAATATGAGGTATATAAGAATTCACCTAAATCTTAACGCAATGTAAAAAAGTACATTGTTTTCTCTTTCAAATACCAGATTTCTTCAGCAACGGTTGAAAAAAGCTGTTCCTTATAACCGAATGAAACTTATGATTGTGGGGAACACTGAGAGTGGTAAAACCACTTTATTGCAGCAATTAATGAAAACCAAAAAATCGGATCTTGGAACGCAAAGTGCCACGGTTGGCATTGATGTGAAAGACTGGCCTATGCTGATCAGAGGCAAAAGGAAGAAAGAACTCGTTCTGAATGTATGGGACTTCGCAGGTATCTATTTTTTTAGAATTGTAAACTTAATTTTCTTTAGAATATTTAGAATATTCTTTAGAATAGGGATTTCAAATTTGAGTTTTTCGATTAGAAGACAGCAAACAGAGCTGGTGGTATCTATGGAAGTATTCCAAAGCCATATAATTCTCCTTATATTACTCTGGCCTCAACAAGGAGCAGTGCAGTGAAAAGAAAATGTTAGGAACCAGTGAATGGCAGTTTAAGTTAAGGAAGAGGTTGGTCACTGACATGCTGGAACCACAGGTAAAGACCCAAGGATAGCTTTTGAACATTGTCTGCCCTTCGCTTTTCTCTTAGTATGCTAAAGATTAAGTAGTGTTACTTAAAGTAATACTTTTAAAAAGTCTTGCCTGTTGTGTGAAATGCATAAAGAAGAAAACCCTGCAATGTTTATTTAGGTCGTGAGAAGTTCTACAGTACGCATCCCCACTTTATGACGCAGCGGGCACTGTACCTTGCTGTCTATGACCTCAGCAAAGGACAAGCTGAAGTCGATGCCATGAAGCCTTGGCTCTTCAATATAAAGGTGATCTACTTTACTTATTGGAAAATCGAAAGGCATGTCATTGATTTTTTATTTGTTTGCTTGGAAGGGAATCTATTCAGAGCAAATAGTTACTTAAACAATCTCTTCAAATCACTCTGTAAAAGGAAGAAGCACAATACTTTTCAAGTTGGTAAATTTTCAGAGTAACCAACTTATGATAAAAATAGCAGGCTCCATACTTATGAGTATGGTAGATGCCTAAAATCCCTTTAATATAAAATTAGATTATATATATTTTAAACCATTTTAAAAATCATATTGTTTCTTGAATGGAATATATACTTTCCTAATTTAAGATAAATCAAATAAAGAATAGCAATTTATTTTTGACCACACAGCAATGTTTTTGGTGGCAATTTAGTACTAAGCCCTTTCAATCCTACATTTGTTAATGGTCCCAAATTAATATTCTTTTATATCTGAAATTTCTCCTCCTTCCTTCTACCTCGCTGCCTGCCTGTCAGTAATTTCTCTGCATAATATGACTTTTAAGAACTGTGTGTTAAAGCTGAGACCAAAAGAGGGTGGTTCTTCTATCCTGAAAATGATTTATGTCTTAACGGCCTGACATGCATTCTGCATGTATATGATTGTTCTATATCTTTGGCATTTTAAAAAAACTTCTTTTATCTTGACTTTATTATAGCCTCAAGAAGTGAGAAAATATTACAGTGGATTAGCATTTATTTGAGATGAAGGGAGAAAATAAATATTTCTCTGATGTGATTGTTAGTTTTAGTAAGTGCTACTTTTACTTAGAAATCAAAGTATAATTACAGATTAAACTATTTTAAGGAATAGGAAGTAAAACAAAACAAAACGAGATTGCTACTACAATTTATACTGCCTGAACATGGTAGTAGTCGGGTTAATCAGGAGCAGCAGAGAAATGACTTTTAAAATTGTGTAACGTTCCATTTTTTCTTAGGTCTCAGAATGGGTATTGTTACATTGATTGAGTGATTCTCATTTTCATCAATACTTAGCAGTAATTGTTTTCTTGCTTTTCTTGAAGGACCACAATTTCTCATTTCTATTCAAGTGATTTTTTCTTAGAAGCAAGTATCAACAGAAGTGTAAGCAGTCCCAAATTCAGAACACACACACGCTTACTTTGTGTCTTTCCCTGTAGGCGCGGGCTTCGTCTTCCCCTGTCATTCTCGTCGGCACACACCTGGATGTTTCTGACGAGAAGCAGCGCAAAGCCTGCATAGAGAAAATCACCAAGGAACTCTTGAACAAGCGAGGGTTTCCTGCAATCCGGGATTACCACTTTGTGAATGCCACAGAGGAATCTGATGCTTTAGCAAAACTTCGGAAAACTATTATAAATGAGAGCCTTAATTTCAAGGTAATGTGGTTTGTGCCCTGTAGTTAGTCCAAACACCAAACTCACTTCTACCGAGTAAAGAGTTACAATCTGGGAAACCCACAGGGGGAGTTCTACTCTGTCCTTTGGGTCACTGAGTCTACGTTAGTATAGGTAATTCATTAATTCTGATGCTTTACAGCTACTTCGGTATGTCTGAAGTCTTGAGAAGAAGACGGGCATCTTAAATCCTGGGTGTTTCCCCATAGCTACTTGCATAATGAAAGAACTTTCCCTTTTCCTTACGTATACCATGCTGCACTTAAAATTTGTAGACATGGGATCAAAACTATAGCATCCTGAGGAGGTAGGATGTTAGTGAATGTTTCTGATGCCCTTTCTCCTAACTTCTTGGAATGGATGCAACAGTAGGACGCAGTGACTATTAGCCTATTGGATGTCATCTTTCTTGTATGAAGCTTTCACTGCCATTTGCCTATTGATGCTTTTCACTCTATGCTTAATCTGTGCACTCCTTTGTATATTGTCTGGGCACCATGACCTCCATCACCATATTTTTACCTTCAGTATTTATTGTGAGATATCGCCTTTATTCGGTTGTCCAGCTCACCGGTTTGGATTTCAGCAATGTCCAAGCAATATCTTAACTTATTAGCACTATGCTTTTTATTTTAGAAATTATTATTATTTTTTAAGATTTCCAATGTACACTTTTGATAAGTTCTTTTCTGATAAGCCAAATTTTAATACATAAAATTCACGAAACCTAAGTAATTTTCATGGAGAAAACTTGTTTCTAAATACAGGGGGGAAAAAATCTTCTCAACGTTTTACAGAGAACAATCTAAATTGTACCCCAAACTGCCCTGAATCATTGAGTGTGATGAATGCAATGGTGGATTTCATCATTAGCCTCTGTTGACTAAGCTTGTTAGTGCTAATGATCAAAATCATGGCTTATAATGAGGGTCCTGTTTGGCCTGGGTAGACCCAGCATAATTATTAATAGTGTCACACTACATTCTCAGAAGAATTCCAACTCAGATGATGGATTATATGGTCACCTGGTTATCCCTCCCTGTTGCCAGTTAGCTTAGTTCTGTTCCATTTCCACAGATCCAAAACTTCATGAACTGTTTACAAACATGTTGGTATTTGTGGTGCCCAAGGAAATAATTTGTGTGTTTCAGTACACATCTATCATTGACACTGAATGGTTTTACTCACAGTGGGGCATTTTCTATGTGACAGTAGTAGCATTTTCTATATGAGGAATGTAGACGTTTTTACTCCCTTCTAGGACGTAATAAGTTAAAAATCAACCAAACACACAAATTCATATTCAAGTGAATGTTCTTTTTATCCAGGAAATGTTCTCCTGGGTCTATCGTCTCTGTATTTATAAAATTTTGTTGTTTACATAGAATATGTTTGTAGATTCTCTTTTTATCATGGCTGTCAGAGCATATATCATATTTTCTTAAAAGCTCTTTGGATGATAAGTTTGTTTTTAAAAAGTGTGGATTTATTCGTAGCAAAGTCTAAAAAATAATCAAGCCAGGTTAGTACCTTTCTCTAATTACAAGTTATCACTAGCAATCAATAAGACCCGTTTTCCCCTGGTGCTTGTAAATGAACTCTGAGGGCATCTCCATTGAAGGAAGTCAAACTAATATTCTCAGAAGCAGCAGGGTCCCTCTCAGGAAGGCGTAGATTGCAGGTTGAGGCAGACATTTCAGTATGTTATTTAGAACGTCCGTTGAACTGCTTTTAGAATAGTAAATTTTTCAGAAGGTCTAGAAGCAGTGCACCTGAATGGTTGGGTCTTTTACAGCCAGAACTGGTGTATTATTTCTTAAAGGTGCATACTTAGGATGGCACCGGAAAGTGTGTTGCCCTGCTGTACACAAAGTCACAATGAGTGGGCACTGACGGGGTGGCACCTAACAACAACAGATATGTCTTCAACCTGTGTTCAAGGAATAGCTATTCATCAAGCAGAGATTTTTTTTTTCACCTCTTATTTGTTTTCCATCTTTTCCTTTTCAGTTAGTTATTCCTTAATCTTTCTCTGTCTCCCTTATTAGCAGTTTCCATGCCTATCCCTTAGAAAAAACACATTCTTTTCTGTTCTGTTTGTTTGTTTGCTGGTGACCTGAAAATCCATCTAAAAGGAGACAAAACAGTAAACAGAATTCTAGGCTGACAGCACTGCTATCAATATTGTTCTGCTCATCCATCAGGCCAGGATCCTTTGCCACCCCTGTGACTGAGCCCTGTAAAGCCCATCTGTCCCACTGCTGTTTTGTTTGCTTTCTGGGAGAAAGCTTATTTAATGCAATATATAGGTTTCATCTTATGGGTTAAAATCTAAACTTCAGACTGACACTTTATGTAACTGTAATCTATAAATGATGAGGCAAACCCACATCACAGTATAAGTTATTGGAATTATATTCATTTTCCAGGGCAAAATGCATTACAAGAATCTTCCAGATGACAGTTTGGAGATAATAGGGTAGCGATGGCTATGGCTGCTGCCAGTGGGTTCCCGAGGGCTATTTTCCACCAAGCAGATAAAGGCTGGATGATACATCTGTTGTTCATGAATAAAATCCAAACTGTTTGTTATAATAAGTTTAAGCATGTAGTAGAAATTTTGACTTGCCCTGTCAGGTGAAAAGATGGGAACAGAGATGGAGAGAGAGTGCCCTCTGGCGGTCCTCAATGGCAGCTTAGATACTATTTTTTGGAGTTTATTTATTTATTTTTAATAAATAAAAGATCGTTTTATTGGGGCTCACATAAAAGATCATTTTATTGGGGGCTCTTACAACTCTTATAACAATCCACACATCAATTGTATCAAGCATATTTGTACATATGTTGCCATCATTCTTTTTTTTTAAATCATTTTCTTAGGGGCTCATACAACTCTTATTGCAGTCCATACATACCTCAATTGTGTCAAGCACATTTGTACATTCATTGCCCTCATCATTCTCGAAACATTTGCTCTCCACTTAAGCTTTTGGAGTTTATTTAATGGGGAGAAATGACACTTCATACGCCAGCCTCGGGAGCCCAAGGGAAGAGTTCTGCTCTCTCCCAGAGCATCGCCTCAAATCAGAATGGTCTTGACCACAGTAGGTGGGTTAGATCTACTTAAAATTAGATTTTCAAGAGTGAAAAACAAAAGTGATGCAGAATTTGAAGAGAGATTTGTAATATGGAAGCTACCACCTTAAGGCCCTTCTTTCAAAGATATTGTTTTATATATTACTCAATTAATGGGCAGCAGTTCAGTTCTGAGTGTAACAGACTAATGACCATCATTTCCTCAGCATCGTTGGTGCTGAGAGGATTCCCCTTCCCAAGCTTAAAGATGACAGCTTAACTTGCGTGTGTGAGGTTTCACGCCTGACTCTAGGCTTCACTGTTGATAAGCACATTCAACCAAGATGACTTTTTTGCAAACAATAAGCACACCCTATAAGGTTTTTCCCAGGGTCTGAGTATTTTCATATAATAAATAAGGTCAAAACCCTCAAGTTTATTACATAAAAATTAATGTTTTCCAAAATACAAAATCCTTCATACATGATTGGCAACTTGTTGAAATTTTTTGCCATAGTTTTCCCAGGTAGTTGGACAGATATGTCCATATAATTTTCCTAGATTTGTCTAAATTAGTATCCATGTCCAATCTTTTTTTAAAAGATTATTTTATTAGGACTCTTACAGCTTTTATAGCAATCCATACATCAGTTGCATCAAGCATATTTGTACATGTTGCCATCATCATTTTCTAAACATTTAGTTTCTATTGAACCCTTGGTATCAGCTTCTCTTTTATCCCTCCTTCCCCCACCCTCATGGACCCTTGATAAATTATAAATTGTTATTATTTTAATATCTAATACTTTTCCATTTTAGCCTTATCTTATTTCTTCTTACATTTAAAGAGCTTCACATTACAATTGTTTTTACTTAAATATGCCCCTCTGAATGGTGTAACCTATTCTGTAAAAGATATTAGCATTGAATTTATCAGCCATCTGATTAGAGTCTGAATAAAGTAGATGTTTACACTTTGTCATTTGCAATTACATAGATCCGAGACCAGCCTGTTGTTGGGCAGCTGATTCCAGACTGCTATGTAGAACTTGAGAAAATCATTTTATCAGAGCGTAAAAATGTGCCAATTGAATTTCCCGTAATTGACCGGAAACGATTATTACAACTAGTGAACGAAAATCAGCTGCAGCTAGATGAAAATGAGCTCCCTCATGCAGTTCACTTCCTAAATGAATCAGGTTTGTGTATTTGTTTATATGTTTTTCAAACCCAGCTGTCGAAATTTATAAATATGCATCTACACCTCATATAGAATTTATATTCGAAACTGAGTAGAATGTTTATAACATTCTTTAATTGTCCATTGGGTTTTCATTGATGTTAACTCATACATCATTGAAAAAAGAACTTTTTTTTTTTTACAAACTTCTATGATCCAAGTTGTGGAAAGAGCTTTTGAACAGGAGTGGTCTCTGGAGTTCGGCTTTATTCTTCAGGTGACATGGGGCCTGGTACACAGAAGCAAATTAATTTAGTGTATGTGAAAGTAAGTGCTATTTGGACACTGGAAGGGAGAACATTCTTTGGGATCGTCCAGCTGGGGACGTAGAGAACTGACGCTGGCCTGACACGATGCAGCACGTGAATGGCAAGTCCTGCTCTGTCTGTTCGCACAAGTTGCCTGCATGGTCTCCAGAGATCCAAACTCGCTGCCATCAAGTCGATGCCAGCTCCTATGGTCTAGTAAACAAGAAACATTGGTGGGTGACAGTCCTAACTAATGGTGTATTGAATTTGTGTAATTACTAAACATGCACCTGTTGATTTGTAATACTAGAATGAGTAGCTGGGAAGCTGACTTTGATCCCTGATGTCTGTAGTATGAGAAGTATCTTTACATGGATTATACTATGTTCATTTTCCCCACCTTTCTTAAACCATTAACCTCTTGAGATATACTGTGTTTCTTAGCTGTACTTGATAATATGTCTTGGTAGTGTAGATTTAGAAAATACAAAGAATATCATGAACTCCAATTGTGTGCTATGCAACCTGTCTAAAATATACTCTCTATGGTAATTTTTATACTTTAGTAATTTTGCTTTGTAATATGGGACATTAGAGCTTTGAAAATAAATATTTCCAGACTCTAGTCTCAGTTCTACCACTAGTATGCTACAGTTTTCTTGTGTATAAAATGAGGGGTGGGACTAGATTCTCTCTACAGACCTTGGGGTATTCTGGAATCCTGGTTTCACTGTTAACATTTTACTACAGGTGTTCTACTTCATTTTCAAGACCCAGCACTGCAACTGAGTGACTTATATTTTGTGGAACCCAAGTGGCTTTGTAAAGTCATGGCACAGGTAAGTGTCTTATATTTGGGGAGCTGGGGTATTAATTGAAGAGTAGAATTTAGAGCATTGAGGATCTAGGGTTTATGCTCAGTAAAGGGTAGAAATTATTACAAATATTAAAAATTTCACAGAATGCTGTCTAAATATGAGTTTTATGGAAAAAGGTAAAATATCTTGGAGTTCACTTTCAGGCCATCTTTCCACGTGAATACAGATTTGTGGCACCAGTTTGGTCTAGGATGCTATCTAGATCCAGATACCTTTGGTTTGGTTATCAGTAAATTGAAGGAAGGTTTTAAAAATTCTTGACCTACACCCATACATGAAAGAAAATTGGGTTGCTGTGTCTTGTCAACCCTCTGTCTGACCTTATGGATGGGAGTTTTGAATGCTCACTGGGATGTGATTGGTTTAAGCTCTAAACACAATTTTGAAAACTTTGGATGGTGGTGGTTATGGCTGCCTTATTTTTATATTTCAAATAGGAAACAATTTTTTTTCTCAATGATGATCCATACTATATGAGATTATATTGATTGGTTGTTTAATTCAACTTTGTTTATCATAGAAACCCCCTAGAGCAGAACATCCTAACACAGGGTTTCTCAGCCTTAGTATGGTTGGCCTTTGGGGCCCGATCCCTGGTTGCTGTGCACTATAGGATGCCGGTAGCACACCCTCCCAGTTATGACGAGCAAAGTGTTTCCAGTCAGTGATAAATGTCCTCTTGTGGAGAAAAGTATCCCTATGAAGAACCCTTGCCTGCAGCTTAATCATGAACTGGAGTCAGCTGGGAGAGAATGCTTCCAGCATGTATTCTCACTAGCACTTCCTTAATTTCTTAAATGTAGCTTATGGGTTTTGCACAAAACCCTCTGAGCTCTAAAACAATTGTATCTTCTTACATTAGAAATATCGCTCCTCCCTCATTTTGAGACCCATGCGTTGTGCCTTTGTGCACCGTGGGTAAGTCAACACTCTCAAGTCATAATAAATTAGGTTTTCTCAGGTGGAAAAGGAAAAGAAAAGAAATTGCACTCCCAGTTAAACTGTAATGTAAATTAAATTCCCTCAAATAATGTTAAATAATAAGTGGTTAAGCTCTAGCAAAGGGGGAAAAGGTAGCTACTTGGGAAAAGGAGCTCAGTTGGGGTTAAATTCTATGACCCAGAAACTGAGATCATATCCTAGCATTGTTGTGATGGAGAGTTAACTGTAATGTTGTAGATATTATGAAATTAGAATCTCATCCTTCTACACATATATTATGGAAATTATGATTTCACTCAACTATTAACTGAGAGCGAGCCAGTAGAATACACTGATCCAAATCACAAGCGCTAGAATCAGCTTGACTTGTGTTCAGATCCCCTCTGAACTCTTGCAACCTTCAGTGCACTTTAAAAATATTCCTTTCTTCATGTGTCAAATCATGGCTGTAGCAACATTAGGATTATTAAAAGGATTAGGTTAGATGATATATGTAAAGCTAAGAAGTCCTTGCCTCTGATCACTATTGAGTGAGCAAAATATTAGCTACTTAAAACAGAGAACAACATGAGAATTTAAGGATCTCTTTTAGGAAATGCAAAAACTGTGTTTTTAAATGGTGACACACTTAAATGATTTTAGCAAGTGTGCCAGCCATGGTGTCAAGTAAAAATAGGCATGGAGTGAAAGATGCAACCAGTCGAAAATTGATTTTGTAAATGCACTCTAAAGATTTTGCTGGT